ATTTTGCATCAAAGTTCATCACAGTGTAAAATGCATTCGGATGGATGGTGTTTAGAGTTTTGCAAAAAAAAGGTGACTCAGATCTGCAAATTGTGCCTACCTCGGTGAGTACTGTTTACCTGGGGAGTTTCTAGCTATTGAAAAGACCAGGGGCTGAGTCAAGTTCACCTGGGGCTCCACATTTTTCATTTTTTTATTTTGAAGATAGATTGACATCGGGGCTAAAATACTCAGGACCTTATGGCACCAGTGCTGTTTACAGTTTTGCCAAATGAGCGACTGAATCAATAAATGTGTTTCGGCAATTGACAGTTTTGTTCCAAGAATGGCTTCAGTGTTTTAACGAATTCGGAAAAAACGTAATAAGCGGCAGATTAATGATTCTAATTCTGCAATCTGATGAAAATGATCTCCCAGCCTGGCACCACGCCCAGACATTTGCCCATGAATCTGTGAGACTCCAGCTTATCTGATGTAAGGGCTACTGGGGGCTTGGCTCCTCTCTTAGGCAGCACAGGGCACAGGGCATGGGACCAGCCTGGATTTGATGCCAGTCTATCAGAGGGCACACACAGGCAGTTTTGGGGGACCCACTGGACCATGGCAGGCAGCCCACGTGAGCCATGCGAACACTGGCAGCCGACACTGCATTTGCACCCTCAGCCCTGGAGGCGTGAGCCTCTGTGCTGCTCCACAATCACATCAGTGAAAGTTAATCAGCCAGTGGTAGGAGCCCTTTGCAGGTAGCGGAAAGCTTCAGGTCCAGTCCAGTGTCATATTAAGAGCCAATGAGCACTACTGACTTTTATTGCAAATAGCATCTTTTTAAACTTCCACGCAGCACCAATAATCATCGGATTTATTTCAACCCAACCACCCGATACTGGTCCCAGTGGGTTCCATGAAACGACTAGTCTTGCCGTTCCTACTACTGGGACCACCCGTCCCATTACAGACCCCCTTTCCGCTGCTCAGAATCACTCCCCCTCTTCCTCCTCAATGGTGCAAATTGAAATCCTCACACTCATTTTCCCACTGTTAAAACCCCTGCATAATACTCCCCCTGCCTCATTTGATCTTGGTGACCCCTTTCATAGCTTTTTCAGGATCAATTTCCACTATTCAGAGCTCACTGCCTGTCTGCTGCCTCCAGCCCCCCCACGCAGGATCTCCACCTCAGCCCCCTTAACCCCTCTCAGCTATTTGATATATTCGGTGCCCCCAAGCCCACCACCTACCCTGTAAATGCCCTCCCTTCTAAGCCATCTACAGCTACCCACCTGTTCTCAGTTCCCATCTGTCCTATTCAGTCAGTCTCTATCTCTTGGATTAGTGCCCACGATGTATAAGATTGTTGCTAATTCTGTCCACTCTGATATTTACAAATATTGTGAGTGTCTTTGGGTTTTGTTAAGCTCTGTATGAATGTAATGTATCATCATTACTGGTGTACAGGCAGAATTGAATGTCACAGTATCCTAGGCCTGATTCTGTCATTATCTCAGTCTCAGCGTGATCAGTATTCTGACAGTCAGAAAACACACAGAATAGCCTGGGGAGAGACCCTTGACTCTTCTATGGGAGGGAGTGTGAGGACAATGCTGAAAGGATACCAGCAAATGAAACATACACCCCCTCCCCCGGGTTGGCAGTAAAACATATTGGTTTATTGTTAGTTCTCCCCTGCACTGTGCAGTGTTGACAGAATTGCAGTGTGATGAATTCCAGTGACAAATAAAAAAAAAACTGAAGGACAATGGAAAATAAATATTTAGAACACTTTAGCTGGGCATGCAGCTGGTTCAAACCTGTATATTTGAAGTACTTGTTTTGTGCTACACTGCCACCTTGTGGCTACATGGCATTTTGTCTGTATTTTGCATTTGGCTGCACCTGAATCCTGGCTCTACTCTGTGTGGATTTTGCATGTTCTCCCCTCATTCCTCTCCAGTTCCACCTTGTACCCCTCTGATGTGCTGTTAGGCTAAATGGTGTCTCTTAATGTCCTGCTGCGCGTTTATGTGCCCTGTGATGAACTGGCATCCCATCTAGTGTGTACCCTTGCATTGTGTTCTACGCCATCTGGAATAGGCTCCAGGCCCCCTCTGCAACTGTACAGCCAACCACTGTCGAAACAGGAGACACTGCATACTCCAGTGTCTCACTGCATACATTTCGAATCACATTTTACTTGATCTTTAATATTGCTGCTGTTGCCCAGAGTGTGTAGGAAATGCGTCTCGCTTGTGATCCAAATGCAAAATCTGGGTAATTATGGTGAGAAGGATTCCTAAGCTGTCCTGGGCAGGACTCATGAAAGGAGTGTCGCTCCGTTAGACTGTTGGTCTCCGGTGTGGGTGCTAGGCTCCACCCCCTCAAACCCTGAGCGGTGGGGTTCCCTTTGCAGGCTGTCCCACGTGCTGCCGGTGCTCATATTCCGAGTGGGCATCCGTAAAAGAGAGGACGCAGAATGGGACTTCCTGCTGGAGATGTACAAGCAAGAAGACGGCAGCAAAGAGAACCTCATCAAGCTCAAAGCCCTCAGTCAGACATCCTGTTGGAAGGAGAGACTGACAAGTGGCTCCATCTCTATTCTCGCTGTCCTCCATCCTTATGGTGTCTTTTTAAATGACAGCCAATGTAGCATTTCACCATAATGATACCATGTGTGCACAGGCTGCTGCACACAGCCTTGCAGAATCACGTGATCGAGCCCCAGGATGTCGCCACAGACATCGAGCAGCTGGCAGAGCGGCCCAGCAGCAGCGAGAGGGTCTGGAGGTTCCTGTGGGATGACTTCGACCAGCTGCTGCAGGAGTTCGTCATGAGCCTGGGACCACTGCAGTTTCACGCACGGAAAAGCTACCTCGACATGGGAATTTTCCTGATTAGTCACATTTCAAGTGATTCAATTTCACTGACATTTAATTAACCGTCAAAACAAATCTATTGCTTCTCCGTTAGGCTGTAAACTTAATTAGCGCAGCATTTATTTATTTTTTTATCTACTCAAGGCTTCTTCTTCTATACATGTCTGGCCACTGTGGGCTAACTTTTAGCTATGCTTTGTCATTAAGTATACGAACAGTCATACTTTCCTGGAAGGAACAGTCCCAGCCACACCACATCCCGGGCCATTACATCACACTTATACTCTCAGGAGAAATATGATGAGGTAAGTAAATGAGATACACAGTATAAACGAATATCTTACATAACGTCAACATTAACCTGAAATTTTTTTTTGCAACTTCCTGTTACATCACGAGAATTCCTGTTTCATCAAAGTGTGAAAGTGTCAAAACTCACCCTGAGCATATTTGTCTTCATGCCTCTTTGCCCACCTGTATCAAGGTCTATGACTTCTTCATCACCCTAAGGAGCCTTGGCCTCCTCTCTGTTGTTAAACTCTCTCTGGAAATGATCCAGGTGAATAAGCACTGGCCTGCAACCAACACCAAGCCCATCCAGGACTGGCTGCAGAAGAACTACTGCAAAATGTAAGGTATTATCACCACTGTTGCTGGGAGATGATGTACCACTTTAAAGGAACGCCGTTATACGGGTACAGCTGTAGCTTTGAAATCAACCCCCACCTCCACCCCCTGACATCAAAGGGGAGACGTGTCTCCTTCTCAAATGGACAAGAAACAGCCGCAAAGTTATCTATTACGTATTTCCAGCTGTACTATATCATGTTCAGTGTATAATTAATACCTTATGACTAAAAGAAACCATAAGAAAAGTACAAAAATACTGGAATCAGATAGACTTCTACAGGTTTCAAAACCAAATCAAATAACATTAAGATACAAAATAAATGACGGTTTCACTCATTTACAGCAAAGGAAAGAAGACAATACAAATGTAAAAGTTTTAAATAAAAATCCCCCCTCGATCATAAATACTGCGTTTATATTTGCTCACTCCTTCTGCTTTTTCACACACCGTTTGCATTCCTTCTTAAGGGAATGCCCCTTTGCGTTTCCTACTCCATCTCATTCAGCAAACACAAGTCACTCAGGCAGAGTATTTTTGTCCCGTGACTCACGCCGAATAGCGATAAAAACAGCTAAGATGTACGTTTAAGTACTTTTTACACAGTCTCCCTGTGTGATCGCTACACCCACAAATACCTGTGACAGGCTGAACACCTTTTGCAAACACAGTGAATTCGGCCATACAGGCCATTTTGTTGCAACGTACGGTTATTTACGAGGTCTGCCACATCAACATTTAAATACACAGAACATTAAAGGAACATGCCAATCATTCTTTTTACGGATTCGTTAATAATACGGGAAAAATAGCGGTTGCGCTATGTATCGTATAGAGACGCTGGGTGGAGTTAATTTACTGGAATGCTGCATGCAAACGTGTAAAATGGTTGTGGGTTCAAAGAAAGCAGGATTGCAGTCATTGCCGCTGATGATAATATTTAATTGTTCATTGTACCGGGCAATAAAATAGTGGTCCACTTGTAAATATATTACAAAAAAATAGGAAAATGCATTTTTAAGCTGCTTCAACGACCTTAGGTCACGCATTTATACAAGTACATTTTGTCACCAATTTTGCCCTAGGCCAAACTTTGTAGAAAAAAACTACTGTGTGAAACTTTGGAGAATACTCCATATAACTGCGGAAGCAATGGAGTGGTACACAATACAAACTCATAATGATAAATTAAACATATTCGTGTATTAGATGTGGTGGTAATTACTTTCAGATAAATATGTCTTAAACTGTCAAGACTACACAACAAAGATGCATCCTCGACGGGGTACCCGGATATTTACATATGTAAAGAACATATGTATAAATATTATTTAAATACGCTTGTCTAACACTTTAAAAAGAAGTTAATAATTTAGTTATTTTGATTTAAATTAGGATTCACTCATTTGATACATTCTTAATCTCCGTCCATGAATATCTTCCCATTTCAGTGATCACAGCCTATCCGTAGGAATGTACGAGAACAGGTGGGTTGATCGACACGCCTATTCTACGAAATTCAAGTTCATATGAGGGTTTGCTCGCGTGAATAAGGCAGAATAACGAGTTAAAGGGGGTGCGTTGTTGGCATTTTTATTTTATTTTTTTGGTTTTGTATTTTGATGTGTTACGGAATTATAAATTATAACTATTTATGGGTGGATAACTTCAGTTAAAACAAAAAAAGGGGATCACGCAATTAAAACACGTCTCTATTCCAGAGTTACTGTCTTATTTACGCACAGTTTTAATTTAATTTATAATTTATAAGCACTTAAAGAGGAATTGCGGGGTCCCACATCCTAAAAAGAAGTTGATGCACATGAATTCCAAGTCGACAGAGATGGACGTCGCTGCTCTCCAAAGGCTCTTTTCGACCTGCGACATTAATAAATCGGGCAGGATCGAGTACGAAGACTTCACAGTCGTTTGCAAGGAGCTCAGTGTTCCCAACGCAGAGATCAGCGCTTTGTTTAAGAAGTTTGATGTGGACGGAGACGGATACATTAACTTTGGCGACTTTTCGTCCAGATACAATGAGGTTTCCGAAACTCTGGATATCGCCTCACTGGGGCAGCCCACGAGAAGCGCTTGGGAGGAATTTGAGGAAAAGCTGGATGGTGGGATAGTCTATTTGGGAAGGTAAGTCCCGGCTGAAATGCTAGACTGATCGTGTATTTTCCTCTGCAGGTGCAAAAATCGCCACATTAAACCTCTCCTTTAAAATCTGAGAAGTCTTTCTTGCAGCCTATGTATCCTTCACACATCCCTCATATGTTAAATAATCCTTTGATTTTCAGTGTTGTTGAGGGTGGTCACGATCCGAATCATGATACTAAAGTATAGTGTGTAGTTTAACATTAATCTCTGGCAAAATGATTAAAAGGTAGGCAACATAATTCTAGGCTATAATTCGGACGTAAAAATGACACTGAATTTCCGTAATAGTTGTTTTACTAGAAACTGGTCTTGCGTTTGTGTTATGTCTGACTTTAAAATAAACGTCCCATACATGTCCAAACCTAGTTTTAAGCGGTTTAAAACGTACAAATAATTGTGAAATCGTCAGTAAAACAGTAAACATTTCCGTAGTTTAAATTTAAAGTTAAACATTGACAATGTTTAATGTTGCATAGGCTTATGTGTATTTAAAACCCTAATTACTCGGGCCTAGTTATAATTGGCTAGAACACCTTGTTAATTTGCGTTCTAAGGTGTAGGCATGTAGTGTAACTCCCGAGCACTTCCAGCATAATGAACGGGCATTAATTATTGCGGACGCTCGTCCGTGTGTCCGGACAGCTCAGCCTTAACTTCTCCGCGTTCGCGGGCTGTCGTGTGCGCGGACGATTGTGTCCGCATTTGTCTGCAAACGCGGATGGCCGCGATCGGCGCCTGCGTACAGTAATGATTTCAGTAGTGGTGTGCGATACTACAAGATTTGGTATCGATACTTTTTAATAATTAAGGTGGATGCATCATCAAATTGCTAAAGTCCATTAATTTTCATTACCTTTAAGTGTGACGCACAAGCAACAGAAAATGTTTTTTTTTTTTTTCTTTTTCTTTAAGTGCTTTGGGAAAAAAAATAGTGAAAATACAATAAACAAAGTACACATGATTGTATTTTTTTTTATTGTAAGCTCAAATATCTCCCCACCCCCTGTGCAGAACAGATTAAATGTTTTTGTTCAGGAACAGTTTCATGTTCACTTTTTTCGATTTTATTGCACTTCGCCTGGTACATAGTAACTGTCCTGCCTTTGAAAAAATCCTCTCAGCTTACACAGACAGCCGCAGTGCATTCAGGAGAGAAATTGAAACTAAAATATCGATCTCATTAAACTGGTATTGATCAATATCAATACCAACATTATTATCCACCCACCACTAGATTCCTGCAGACCAGGGCCCTATATCTTGAAGCAGGATTTTGTTCTTAGCCGGATAACTTGTCAGATTTAAGGTACACCAGTTTCAATGGACTTTATCTGCGTTCACTTACATTTATCCCAGACTACCTTAAATCCAACAATTTATCCGCCTGGCTAAAAAATCCTGTTTCATGATCCAGGCCACAGGAGAGGGCAGATGTTTGACGCATGTGCAACAAAATGGGTAAACTTTTTATTAACAGTTTTAAGTCTGACTTGAGCGATATTGAGGTGATACAGGAGTTTGTGGCATTTTGAAATCTGTGCGACATTCCCAGGAACATCCCTGTTCCTTTATTTTATTATGATGTCGCTTTATGTACTTCCTGAATACTTGAAAATTAGCTGGGACCACGGCAAGATTTCAAAATGCCAGAATATTTTGAATGCATCGTAAACCGTGGGATAATGTCTAGGCAGAAAGAAAAATCAGATGTGGTACCGCAGTACTTTGTACAGCAAAAACTACTCTCTCTCTCTTCGCTGGCCAGTCAGTGCTGCCACCTAGTAGTAAATTTCCTTGCACACGTGCAGTCAAAAGGCACGGTTTAAGTAGTGGTGGTGGGGGGGTAATTTAATACAGACCCTACATAAGCCTATTTATTCTGAACAAACTGGCAGACTGGGTCCTATGGTTTAAGGGCAGCACCACCATGTCCTTATTTTCATGTAGGTTCTCATTCCCCCGTGGCCTGCTGGCTGTCTACTCTGAGAAAGCACGCCTTAGCTTTCAAATACACTGTAACGCAATTATACTCCATATTAATGGATACAGGTCCAGTATGATCATGAGAACTTTTTTTTTTCTAGTAATGTAGCATAACTTGATGTGAAATTTATTGGGCTGAAATCTGCTTTTTAAAGGAGTTCTATAGAAAGCGGCATGTCGAAAAGGTTGGTCTGTAGTGGGTTATCTCCTGTATTTTATACCAATGGATTTCCTCGAATTTAATACCAGGCAGTTGCACCCCTGAATCTTGGGCCTGAAATAAGTTGATGTAAAACTTAAACTTGAGAACATGTGGCCGACAAGAGCCTCGGCTGTAACAGAATCTGTGATCTCTGCGCAGCAAGCCCTAGAACTCTCATCTCTCCCCGAAGGTGCCCAAATTCATCCTGCATTTGTCTTGAGATGACAGGGACTCATGCTTTGTAATACGGTACCAGTGTATTCTTGGATGCATTGGTAATCTTTCCCAAACCTTTTGCCTCCCCCAGGACCCGGGACCCTGTAGTGGAACTGTATCAGCAGATCTGCAGCTTGGATCCCTCCCTGCTCCAGCAGTATGAGGAGCTGGTCAGGGTGCTTGTGGGTGAGAACAGGGAGCACCAGCTGGAGAACCAGCAACTGGAGAGCAGCCTGAGACGGTGAGGAAGGGGGCTGCTGTGTGGTGTCCTGGCAGAAGGGCTGGGGGCTGAGATTGAGATACTGAGGCTCTCCATTAAAGGGCTGAAACTCTGTCACAGCATAACAGCCACTGTATACCTTCTCACATTCAAAGGCTGTTTTTATGTGGGCATGAATGAGTCTGATTGTGTGGCATTACCCACCACTGGGTATCGGGCCTGTTCTGTGAAACTGGGTTAAACATCAGTGACTTTTTCAGTCCATTGTCTGTTTAGTCTGCCCTCATACAAGAATGTTTGTTTGTTTTCTAAACTGTTTTTGATTCGTTGTTGGTTGCTAGGGAGGACAGTACATATTCCACATGAGAATTCAAGAATTATTTTGCTGAGATTACACAGGATTTATTGAATACTAAGGTGTCTTATGGCGGTGAGGTGATGGGCTATGATTTGTCAGCTGCATATGGCTCGGGTGCTCGTGTGAGGCCTTAATGCATAGTTTAAGTTATGGACGTGCACAAGCTTTTCAATGCCTAGGAGCGGAATTGATGGTGTATTTTCAGTTGACAATCAGGCATGGTGTTTTGTACTGTGACACAGTATTTCCCAATCTGGTCCTCGGGGGGGGGTGGCGACAGACAGACAGTCCACAGTTTTGTTCCCTCCCAACTCCCTACCAGACAATCCACATTTCTCTTTCCACCCCCCCCCTCCCATTAGTCCACATTTTTGCTCCCTCCCACAGCTGGGAGGGAGCGAAAACGTGGACTGTCTGGGGCTCCCCAAAGACTGGGTTGAGAAACACTTCTATGACACAAGTACTGAGGTACTTTGCTGCCCGCAGGACGGAGGAGGCGACGGCGCGCCAGCTGGCTGAGCTAGAAGAAGACCTGCAGCAGCAGCTTGTCCTGCTCGAGCAGAGGGTGCGTGAGGAGGTGAGGAGCAGGAGGGAGCCTCCATACTGTTATGCTGCTCTCGGCATCCGACGTGAGACACCGTGTAACTCGCACCTTTGCCAAATGTGTCAGCAGTCTGCTTCGTTAGCGCTGCCATAAAGTCATGGTGTCTCCCTGCCGCTGCTTCTCAGCAATAACCCTCCTGACCAGGGACTTGGGATTAACCTGCAGAATGAGTGTCACGTTATTTTCACAGGTGACCAAATGAACTGACGTTATGAATGCATGCGTCATGGTTTATTTTGGTGTAATGGGATGTCGTGGAAGTCCTTAGATCAGGGGTGGGTACTCTATTCCATAAAGGGCCATTGTATATGCTGGCTTTCGCTGCAACTCCCTAATTAGATTACTCATTACAGGACTGATTGGCTGATAGAATCCTTACACCTGGGTTTGACCAGCTGACCTAAAGGTTGTCCCAAAAACATGCACACAGTCCAGCCCTTTTACGGATAAGATTGAACACTCAGCGCATGCATATAGGCAAAAAACCATTCTCATTCATGTTGCATGGCCAGAAATCAGATAAGAATCTGATCTAGGACCAGACATGAAAGGCTACGTTCACATTACAAGCCTCATTGTCCAATTCCAATTTTTTGCTAAGACTGGATTTGCCTGTCTATGGTTCACAATCATAATTACAGGTATACTGTGTCTAACTATAATGTGAACACATCTCTCACAGCACTCTTGTGCTTATTGATACGTTTCTGCAGGAGTCAGTTGCATCTCCAACAACAAAAAACACATGAATTCCGATCTGCCCATTCGCGTCAGATGTGTATCCAATCTAGGACCACGTACGAGAGTGACTTGAATGATTTGAAAATCTCAGCTGAATCAGAGCTCGGAATACATGTCGAGGTTGGGAGGGGATATCGTGGGAACTCCCGGCTGCCACGTTCCAGGTGTGATTTGTCCCTGTTCCCTGGGTTCCACGCGTGGCAATCCAGGCTCCAGAGTGATTTGACCTGGCAGCCTTAAGTATCTTTTTTAAAGTCCTCCTTGGGAGTTGACTGAATAAAGCCTTACATTTGGATGCCATGGTAACAGGAGCACCTGAAACTGGAGACGGCTGTCGAGGCGATGCAGAAGAAACACGAGAGCGAAGTGGCAGACGTGCAGGCTGCTGTCGACAAGCTGAGAAAGGTAACGGCTGACGGGTGGCAGCGGGCCCCTCTGTAGAAGCTCCCCAGCACGGCAGCGTGAGAGGCTGTCGCGCTACTGCACTGTTTTCTTAGGGAGGAACCTGAATGTCAAAAGCACACTGCCTTCTGCCCTTGTTTATCTCCAGGGCATCAATCTGCGGTCTGCACATTTAGATACTACAGCCGACCTTTGACAATGCGTCACTGCTGAATGCTTCATAATAAAAGTCCCTCCATTTGCCAACATCTGGCAGGGCCTGGAAGTCCAGAGTTAATTTTAGCTGAATGCATGACACCAATATATTCTCCATCCGTAGCAGCTCTTGAGCCTGGCTGTGGTATGAAGTTTAAGTTGCTAGCCTGTTGCTGGTGTCGGTCCAGGATTAGGGTTAGGATTAGGGTTAGGATTAGGATTAGGGTTGGGTAAAGAGAGCATGAGGTAATTTGGGCGATGTGTGGTTCTGTGCCAGTCACTGGAAGCTCACCCATCGGTTAGAATCCTGTGCTTGGCAGAATGGTTTTCCTGTTGGGGCCTTGAGTAAGGTTTGTTGCATGGACACATACTGATCATGCTCTCTGATCCTCACGAAACTAGGCAATAATCTGTTAAGTTTCTCCTGTCAGTTTTAATATGATTAATTCTAGAAGCTGTAATTCTCAGGTCTATGATTCACTGTAGATGTAGGACTGATAAGCTGCCCAAGCACCCAACAGCAGGTCCAGTCCTTTAATGAAAACCACATTCCTTAAAGGCATCATGCCTTACAATCGGGCACCTATTACTCACTGTTTGTCAAGGAGTCCTTATGCACACAAGACCGGGCTCATGCTGCCAAAGCAGTTTGTAATGTTTATGAAATGTATATTTGAGTGGATTGCCTAGTAGCACATCCTGAAACTCTTCCAGCTCCAGGACGACTCCCAGCAGCTCAGTCCCAGCGTGGAGGTCCAGCGCCTGAGGGGCCAGATCCGGGAGATGACAGCGGTACAGCGTGGATTCACATCCCACCGGGTCGTGTGGAGGGGACCGGTTCCTTTTGCTTCCTGGATCGTTGCCCTGAAGGGGTTTTGTTTTTGTTCTTAAGGAAAATGAGTGTCTGCGGAGCTCACTCAACCAAACCCAGACTACAGTTTCCGTCCTGCAAGCCGAGCTGGACAGACTGAAGAATGAGAGTTCGGACGAAAGGTTGCAGCACGAGCGGTGAGGCTGAGCAGCGTAATGCGTTGGCCGCGTGCCCCCCCCTGCCTGGCAGCTCCCCCCCGCCAGGCTTTGTGAGCCCGAGGCAGTAACGCTGCGCTCTCCCCCACAGGGAGACGGAGCACTTGAAAGCCATGTTGATGGAGTGTCAGTCCTATTCCAGTCACATAGCTGTTCTCCAGTGAGTCACCACTCTGTTTATTAAGTGTAAAGGATTTTTTTTTCCGGTGGGGTGGGGGTGGCAGTCATTGTTGGCAATTTAAACAATAATCTCTGCCCTAATTTTATGCTTCTTTCTCTTTGAGGGAAATGAATAAGAAGTTGTACGACAGCAATGATGGCTTGCGCTCTGCCTTGGCCCAGAACATACTTGTAAATAATAGGAAGGTATGGTTCTCTGTCACTGGAAACACTGCTATTTTTCGTTTTCTACCAGCGCTACTTCTAAATGAGTGTTCTTCAGCCTTCCAGGAAAGAGAGCTCAACCAGAAGGCTGAAGCCTATTCGACAGAGTACGCTGAAACGCATCAGGTGGCGATTTTCACTTTCTGCTTTCCTGTTCCTTTCCTGTTGTGATGTGGTTCTCCGGTCAGTCATGCGCACTTGCTTCCCAAGTTCTGTAGATGAGAGCATGGATAGTGACCCCAGCAAGGGCAGGTACTCCCATGTGGCCTCCTGGGCGGATAAATACCTGGACAGTGGCGTGTCCATCACCACGGAGACGGCAGCCAGCTCGTACGACAGTGACGACAGCCGGCAGTCCGTGGAGACGGTGCACCACAGCTATTCCTGCGCGTTCTCAGATGCTGAGGTATTTCCCCACCCAGCCCATGTGCCCAGATGCTCACATGAACGTACAGCCAGGTTTAAGGTGCTCTACCCCTCGCTGTAGGTGTCTGAATTGAAGTCAGAGATGGGGATTTCGGCAGCAGTCAGCCGTTGTGGCTCCATCGCCTCATCCATTCGTAGGCGCCTTTCTGCCTTCCCCGCACGGGTAAGAAAGTCCTCGCAGCAGTAGTGACCCTACACTCCAGTACCAACATACCTCAGTACTCCCTTCCAGTCGGCTGGTTCTAGGTATAAGGGGCCCACATGAACCTTAGCTGCTAAAGGCATGGACAGGTGGCATCTGGGTCGTGAATCCCAGGAATGGTCCTCCCCACTGTAGTGCTACTGTCCAAGACACTTGAACATAATTCTACGAGTTCCTTGGTTCTGAACCCAGCCTTTAGGTGCTCCTCAGCCACTCCATGTTTTTGTTCCATTTCACTTACCTGGTTCCTCTTCTCAGTCCTTGATTACCTGGCTGAGGTATGCAGGTGGTTCTATACCGAACAAATTATGTCCTTGCTGGGGGCTGAGTTGAGAACCACTGATCTATTGAATATTAAGTAATTCAGATAATTATTTAAATGTACTGAAGCAATAAACCAGTATTATTGTTCCAGGTTTTAGGATGATTCTTTGTGTTTTTAAATTGCTGTACTTTTAAATCTTTAAGTATGTTTTATTGTATTTTCCTCCTTTTACTGCCCTTAGCCGGCATTACCATTTTATAGACTCTTTCAAAGAGTTTTTAAGTAATCAAGCCAAAGGCTCTTTTTAGATTTTTGTTTTAACTGTTTCTAAAAGGGGTGGCAAAACTGACCCACTGAGAGCCACTGTGGGTGCAGGTCTTTGGGATGACCTCTCAATCAGCCAGTGATAAAGCAGTGTTTCTCAACTCCAGTGCTGGAGACCCCCTGTCATGCCAAAAACCCGCCCCCACAGCGGCTCTCCATGGATCAGGTTCAGCACCCCCGGTTTATAACGTTTTATTTATTTATGAAGCTTCTGCATTATTTGTTCCTAATAATACCTATATACTCTGACCATGAATATAGCCCTAGTTGTTGGCATGGCGATAAGCATCAACATAACTAACTGCACGGATAAGCTGTGGTGTTGTATTATATCTGGTTGATTATGCTCCTGTAGTTTTGTGAGACTGGATACTGGGGGAGATATTTGTGTGGGATTTTTGCATTTGCTGCAAGTGAGCAGTATTTGTGTTGACAGCACGCAGAGAAAGACATCCCCGATGGTGAGGTGACAGGCCCTATGTACAGAGTGGTCCTGGCTGGGGATGCCGGGTCTGGGAAGTCCAGCTTCTTACTGAGGCTGTGCAAGAATGAATTCAGAGGAGACATTCAAACCACACTAGGTGAGATCCGGATCCACACACTTATCCAGCAAACCTAATGTTTAGTTTCCTTACCAAGCAGAGTGATCCTCTGGTCTTAGGAGTAGATTTCCAAATGAAGAGGATGCTGGTTGATGGGGAGAAGACTACTCTGCAGATCTGGGACACTGCTGGACAAGAGAGGTGCGTGGTGTAAGGAGGAGAGGAGGTGAGGAGCGCTTGCTGATACAGCATGTTGCCGTACCCACCACACGACGAACCACTTCAGGGATGAGAACCCGAGTGCATCCCTGCGGCGGGTGGTGGTTGGAGTGCAGATCCAGCCACCAACCCCCAAATTTTCCCTATAAGTTGGAGGTCCTCCTTGGAGGGCCAGATGTAGATTAACATCATACCCAGGATGAAGCAGTTGCAGGTTAAGGGTCTTGCTCAAGGGCCCAATGGAGTAGGATCACTCATGGCATTCATGGGATTTGAACTGGCAACCTTCTGATTGGCAGCACAGCTCCCTAGTCTCAGAGCCATGGTGGGCAAGAATCATATGCATGACTGGATTGGACCAGTGAGAGTGTCAAAGTAATTAATTCTCTGCTCTCCATCGGTAGGTTTCGCAGTATTGCACGGTCGTACTTCCGCAAAGCTCATGGAGTTCTCCTGCTGTATGACGTTACATCAGAGTCCAGCTTCCTCCACATCCGGGAGTGGGTGGATCAAATTCGCGTACGTTTTCAGGAGACCCTTAAAGGTTGCAATTAATTTTTGAAAATCATAGCTAATATTAAAGAGAAATTCCAGTTTGTACAGAGATATCACTATAACTTCTAAAACTTTCATGTTTAAGTCATCATAATGCTGTTGGTTTTGGGGTACATGTGCTTTTACAAAATTTAGTTGGTAAAAATGAATTGTACAGCTTTGGTTTTAGGTATCATCCAGCAGGGGATGTGACCTTACAACCACTAACTCGGTGAGTGCCAGATCAATGATGGCCTGTTCTCTCATCTCAGGATGCCACAGGTGAGCTGCTGCCCTTGTGTATAGTTGGAAACAAGGTGGACCTCAGGGTTGAGCAACCAGCCGGTGCCAGTGTTAGCAGAGTGAATGGAGAGAAGCTAGCTATGGTGAGTCACCCTCCCTTATCTCGGACCTGAATGATGAACATTCAGCAGAGGTGTGCAGTGATCAACTGCCCTGCCAACTGCAGGCGTACAGTGCCCTCTTCTGTGAGACGAGTGCCAAGGAGGGCACCAACGTGGTCGAGGCCGTCCTTCATCTCGCCAGGTTGGTAATGTTCCAGAATGTTCTGCACACATGTTGGGCTGCACATATTGACGGGAAGGTTAATGATTCTTTAACGCGGTACCCCTACCCCCACAGGGAAGTGAAAAAGAATGAGAGGATGAGGCGGAAGTCTGAGCCCAAGGTGAAGCTTAGCATAGCAGATGGGAAGAGGGCAGTCGGCAATTGCTGCAGTGTGTAGATGGACGCTGACGCCATCTAGTGATGGCCAGGTGAAGCTGAATGAACCCCTTGCTGTATTTTCTGACCCCACTAGATGGTGCTTTGTCCAAAAAAGGGTTCAAAGCATGTCCCAAATCAACCCAAGAGCACCATCTAGTGGGGTTAAAAGAATACAGCAAATGGTTCAGGAAGCTTCATTTGGCCATCACTGCCATTCCTCCAGTTGAAGAATTACAGCATTGTTGTTTCTGTGTAAGGAAGTTTTCAATTCAATTGCTATACTTTTTAATCCCCAAGTAATTTTATTATTATTATTATAATTATTATTATTATTATTATTATTATTTTACCATTTTAAACTCTAAACTGCTGTTAAAAAATGTTTCTGGAGGATTGTTCCAAGAATGTCACAAGTGTTGCAAGGAGATTTGAAACCAATTGTAAAAACAGAACTGCATGAAGAATGTTTAAGTAACTTTTTAGAATCGATTTTCAGTATATTGTATGTAAATTCTGTGTATGTTGTGCAGATTTTCCGTTGTCCTGCAGAGAAAGTTATTTTAATTTTATAAATAAAAATGTGTCTCTGTCCTTTAAACCTGAGTTCTTCAGCGTAATTTCTTTAAAACCTTTTATTGGAATCGGTTTTTAAACAAAGTTGATGGGCCCTACCTGTAAGTTATTGGGGTGGAATTACCTTAAATGAAAAGGAGCCTGATATTTAAAATAATGCCCTGTTCAATGCAGGGATGAAAAATTTTTCCTTCTCTGCCTAGGCCGTTTGAGAACAGTGTATGTTAAATTAGTTTTTCTTTTTTTATAACATGATTAACACAAATGTTACCCACCCCTAAATAGCAGTAGTATATAATTGAGATTTTGCTTTAATTCGTCCTTTTAACTGAATACAATGCACTGTAACAACATAAATCACAAACTGCTCCAATAAAAGATTAAACACGTACATATGATTAAACCCCTACTAAAACAGGCTGTATTTTGTACACAATCTCTTATTAATTTTTGTGTTGAAATTTTTCTACTTTTTTTTTTAAGGTTTGCAAGCCACAAAAAGGAATGGCAGAGAAATGGACAAACGATAAACTAACCTTTAAAATAAACGTACATACAAATAAGTACACAAATTTAGGAAATTTTTACATTTTATGTAGACCTACCAATAATCCCCTCCAACATTATACAACATCTGAGTCACTGTTTCTTTTATTTTGTTTTTCTCTTTTGTGTTCTGAAATATGTCTCCTCTCATGCTACTCTAGTCATTTTGCGACCACTGGCTGTTACACAGTTGCAACAATGTTAGTAATCTTGCATATTTTTATGTCATGTAAAAAAATTACACACTCTCCTATAGCACTCGGTAGTGATGTGTCGATGCAGTGTTGGGTAGTAGCTAACAACAATTAGCGACGCTACTAACTTAACTACTCTGCTCCTTAGCTTATCAGTAGCGCAGCTACTCTTAAAACACTGTAGCTTTTTCAGTAACTATTTTTGTGAAATAGTGATGTAACATGGCAAAACGATACATCGTAAAAAAATAAATAAATACTACAGGTTGTCGTCCAATTATGACCTATGCTCGATCGACTTTACGACCGCTCCAAGACCGCCGATATGTGACCACAACGGTGCGAGTTGCCTCGCCTGGGTCTATGACAGTCTCTGCCCTGACTGCCGGTATCCCCGCGAGAAGCGCATTCATCTCATGCTCAGGCTGTACAGTATACATTCATATCTCTTTGTGTGCTAGCAGCTTAAATGGTGATTAAAAAAGGTGATAACATGGTTTAAAACACCAAACAATATGACTTAAAGATGATAGATTTTTATTATGCAGTATAATATATATACAAAGGAGGGTGATACTGTCACATAACATGACCTGACCGCCTGACCTAAACACAACAGAAATGGCCTTGGAGGAGTTTGACCAGAGTGAAGGAAAAGTGGCCAATGAGAGCTCAGCAAACGTGGGGCCTCCCTCAGGACAGCTGGAGAAGCATCCCAGGAGGCCACCTCGTGAAACTGGTGCAGAGGAGAAAGTAGAGTCAGCCAGTCCTGGGAGCAATTGGGATTAGGGGTCTTGCTCAACAGCCCAATAGACACCACTCTGCTGGCCATGGGATTTGAACCGACAACCTCTTGGGTCCCAACCCACAGAGCTGCCTTCCCAATTAATTATTTTTTTTTGTATAATACTTCTTTGGTTAGTGCATAATTCCATACATGTTATTTTATAGTTAAGTTTTTTATAATTACTGTAAACCGTAGAAAATTGTACAAATAAACCTTTCTATGAGTGGGTGTCTCAAACTTTTGACTGATTCTATTGTATGTATGAAATTATAAATTATGATACTGCATTTGCCTAATAACCACAGCTGACAGCCTTCAACACAGGTTTGTTTGCTGTAATGGCTGCAAAAATATTGGATCAAAAAGATGATGCATGTGAATGAGATTGAATCAGGTTTGAAACACAAGCTGCTGTGGTTTTGGTTGGATCATGTGCTACCAAGTAAGATGGGGGAAACTGAAATGAATATCCGTGTTAGTGCCTGAATTCAGTCCTGCTTGCTTGTTTTGTTGCTGAGGTGGCGATCTGCATGTGGGTGGGTGTAGGCTTGGAAACTTTCATTTAGTGTTAGAAAACTTTCTCCCACCACAAATTGCAAAGTAGATCACTTAAGATTCCCCCCTCCTCACCCACACATTTTTCTAGATTCCACCTTACAGCTGTTTTCATTTTGGGACACTTTCCTTCCTGTTAATCAGTCATTGTGTGAAAATCACCAGTGAACCATTTCAGAGCAAACGTGCAGTCAAACACTACGACACCATTGTACCTAACCTAGGTCCCTCGTCCTGTTATGACCTCTTTACTACAAAACCCACGTTGAAGCTCACAAGAACTAGCATAGAACTGTACCTCAGGTGATGTTACACAGGAATCTGTTCTGAGCTCTTATAATGGGGTCAGTACAATATTGAGGCCCATCTGTGGCCCAGTCCTTACTTAGCAGTTATCCCTGGATAAACAGCTGGCCTGCATTCTGGAAGCACAGAAAGTGTGAATACATAAACAAGACTTGTAATTATTCCTGCATATTATTCCGAAAAAAAAAAATTATTTTAAGTCAAATGATTAGTTTCTCAGCGTGAACCATTTAGTAAGATAGCAGAAATGCCTTTTCTGCTTCAATTTACTGTTCATTGCTAGTCAAGTCTCTCTCAACAGCACTGGGTGCTTATGCAGAACAATAGAACCGTAGAAAGCTTCCTAATCCTGCTGGATAGGTGCTATGTGAAAAAAAAACACATTAAAAGGAGTACTTTGCACACAAAAGGAAGTCTCGTCTACATTATCTTAATACATTTCATTTAATCATTATGCTCATCACTCTGCTACGGACGGTGTTACAAGACAGACATGTAATTGATAGCAACCTCCACAGACAGCTTGTGAAACTCTATGCTCAAGACAAACCAGTGGCAATTAAAAAGCTACCTTTTATTAACTTAAAGTGGGGCTTCAGGATACAAAAATAACACCAGCACAGGTAGGCTGCACCGTGTCTGCACTTAATGCACTTTAGAAGTTAGGAATCTGTACAACTGGAGGCAATTAGATGTCAGCTGTCAAGAGATACTTTCATAGCAAAATAACACTTTCCAGAACCAAACGATTTTAACCTCCCCCCACAGAAAATTAGGTACACGAATACAACGCATCTACATCCTAAAAAACTAATCGACAGCTCAGTTCTCGCAATATTAGTGACATTAGTGATAGTCATACTTCAATAAAAACTCATTACGTTCCGTGGTTATTTTGGTTTAGTGTCGACTTTCTCGTTTGCCTTCTTCTGCTTCTGCTGCATTATCTCCGCATCCCTGAAAAACACCAGGGCACAGAACAAGGCTCAAGCAAAAACTAGCATTGTTTAGTTTAAAGAAGAAAAAAAAATGGGCAAAAAGGAGCAAAAAACAACTACTTCAGGAGTACCTTTGCTTCCTGGCGGCAGCTGACAGCCCGTCCTCGCCTCTCTTACCCTTGGTTTGGTCCATCTGTTTTTTGGCATTTTTCTGGCGAGCAAGATCTCGCTGGTTGCCCCCTACAACACAGTTAAGTCGTCACCTGGCCACATGTCCTGCCATTTCTGCTTAGATCGCGGATTTACACGCACGCATTAAGTCTCGGCTGGGAGTAGCCGCTGAAGACCATACGGGGTGCAGCCAGTCTACGTGGCAAGGGGGCGCTGCAGAGCCCGACATGCCGCCAGCATGACCACAACAACACCACCGCCCTGGAGAAACGTGCTCGCTTCATCTTCGTCCGCGATCAAGCCGACCGATGGAGGAAGTAAGACGGAAAGAAGCAAAGTCCCCATCGGCTCTGGTGACTGATGTCCCGTATAACGCGGCGCAGGACTGACAGGCACTGAAGTGCACCCATCATAATTAAACCAGCAATTAGAAAAATAAAAGAAAACAAAATGTGCATATCAAACGATAAGCAACAATGGACCTATTTCCCAATGCATGGGAAACCGATTGTAACAATATCAGTGAACCTTTTTAATCGGAGGTTATAGACAGGATGTGCAGTTTCACGTGCAATCGCAAAACTAATTCTTCGAAATAGTTCAATTTTTTAGCAAAACGATGTTCTAAGTAGATCGATTAGCGGATCTCTAAACCTCTGGCTCCACCGAGTAGCAAAGTCGATAATTTGAGCAGCAGTATTTATGTTAACTGCTTGTAAACCCTTTAATACCCACTTGTCATTTTTTGTGATGCGATGGCTCCCGACACCAGGTAAACTCACGCGAAGGGCTGCTTCAAACACCGGATTGCAGTGACACCGCTGCGCACCACGTTACACACGGATGATGCGGGCCGTAATCCCAGCGCCTTTATGGCGGAACATGGTTTGTATGGCATTCAAAATAGCCTACAGTTATTCGTCCTCTCATTGGTAATTCTGACAGTGTCCCGCCCTTGCCCCTAAATCCATTGGTCTCTCTGAATGTCATTCAACACGTATAGCCGTTTTCCTCGTCTTATTGGTTACTCTGTCTGACATTGTTTATGTACTACTCCCCCATACCTGGCTGCGGTTCAGATTGTCCGGATGATATTGTATTTACCTCAACTCAATTTCAAAGCGAAATTCAAGAACTTGCGGGCCCAGTTTTTATCTGCATAGAGTTTTACTTCTGTAGACAGCACAACATGCACGTGTATAATTTGCACATTTGTTTACAATGGTGCATGTTTGGTTTCAACACTCCTAGGAACCAAATCAGCCCTGAATTCCCTATCCCCCTAAAATGGAGTAAAGGACAGCATCTATCTACCAACAGTGTATCCTGGGCTGAGTCCTAGAGAATGCCCTGAGCAGGAATGCCAGTCCAGCGCAGACAAAAGATACACTCATTCACTAAAGTGATGTCATTTAGAGGCAAATATGCATGCCTAATGTCTGTCTGTAGGCTGCGAGAGTAAACCACTTACATTAAACCACCTGATACAGAGAGACGCACATGGGAGACACTGGCATGGAAAGTTGGCTGGCATCGTAAGTTTCACTACAGGTTATAGTGCCCACTCATGGGGGCATGCACTGCCCACTGAGCCACCCCCATTGTGCATTATTATAGTTTTTCAAAATATTATATTTTGTATATTTATGTAGTGAAATATATCCATTCGATATATTTAAATATATTCACAGTAGCACGGTGGCACAGTGTTTTATGCGTTAAATGCAGAGGACACATTTCGTTGTTGTGCACTCCGTGCTGTGGTGTGTCAACAATGACCACTGATCTTCTAAATTCTATCAATTTCCAGCTACAGCCCTGTGTGGCAACAAATACTATTACAAACTTCTAATCATTATCACTGAGTTTCATAGACCCAAAATTGGTAATTGCCAATTGCCCAACCTGCATGCAAGTCTGCAAAATTCCCTCTTGAACACAGTGAAAACAAACAAAGAATTCCCATCATGAAACAACAAATTCCTTTGCAGTCCTGTTTCTGTGGAAGCTGTCAGGAATGGACCAAACTATTCTGCAGAATAACAGGTAATACAGTTTTTAAGCACCAGTCGTGACAGTTCCACGTTCACCACAATAATAAAAATACAAAAAAAACGGCACTCTTAATTACTACGTCGCGGTAGAACAGTTCCGTCAAGAAATATTTTAGTGTACGACTGTAGTCAATCATTGCAAAGTCATTGATTATCATGACCACTTGGAGGCAGTGTAGACCATACAAAACATCCACAATTCTTCATGGCGTTTAATTATCTGTCATTGTAACACCGCCTCACCACTCCCACTTGTTCCACACAGGCATGCTCGCTAACACGTACGCATGCAGCTAGCCTATATGCTTTGTTGCACAATGTGCAGCAGTTTTTCTTTTCTTTTTTTGCAGTTTTATTGCGAAACTTTTCTCGGTCCGACTCAGCTTTGTTATTATAAATGCTGTAGGTCAGAGTTTCAGCCTGAAAGTTAGACGACTATAGGCGGAGCTGGTACTCCACCAGCTATTCTCATGTTACAATTAATACATGAAATCAAATAAATAATTTGAGCTTCGATAAGCAAAATAAACACCTGTCCTCAAAAAGATTGTAAGAAAATTAATAAAAGTGAATGTTTTGCTTTTATCGAATGACCTGTAGGATTTGCACGACTGCACTTATCTTGTCAATTTTTCAACTTTTTAAATATGAATAGGCTTTGAAACTCATTATGTATTTTCGTTTATTGGATAGTTTAATTCTTGAATATAACACGTACCATACTCATAGCTAAATTTTCCGTTCACAGTAAGTGTATGTTAATAACTCATTAATAAAACTTTTTTATTATTATTAATATTATATTTTAAAATCTTATGTGTACCACAGTACGGTTCGGTGGCGCCATACTACGTAAACGCGTGAACAGGTGGATGCATGGACACTACACAGTATCGTGACATGCTGTAATGCCCGCACAAGTAATATTCAATCAGTTACAGATTCATTCAGATAAGCTGCTGGATGATTATTCAGATAGGCTGCCTTGCGTACAAACGTCATTAAAAAGGCCGCTGTGCATCATATGTGAATTCTTTTGCGTGTCTTCTTAGCATCATTACAAAAGTGTTACAGATATTACAGATACCCTGCACATAGTGTGTCTGCTGCGTTGTTAGTGAACTGCCTCCCACGTGCTTCTTATTATTGTTTACTTTGCAGGCGTTGTTTTGACCCATTTTCTGTTTATCGCTTTGCCTTCAGACCTGACTGAGCCGGACCAGCCCCGTCGTACTCCGACATACCGTACAATCTGTCCATTCCAGAGAACTTTCCACTTGCCTGATCTCACGTGTTTGCTCTGCTATTCGGTCTCCTGAGTCAACAAGCTGATCTCCATTTAAGCAGGGCTTTGTAGCAGCGCCGGACTCCCCAGGGAACGCAGTCAGGGACTGTAACACGATAATTTGTCAGGTCATATGTACACCTGGGTCTGTTTCTGTAAAAAAAGATGTCTGTTCAATACATTTACATTTCTATTACTCCATTAGAGCCAGCGTATGTTTGACATGAACCATGTGCAGATCTTATACAACAATAATAATAATAATAATAATAATAATAATAATAATAATAATTATTATTATTATTATTATTATTATTATTATTTCAGTAGTTTGCTTTTGGTGGAGTGCATCAGTCTAAATATAGTAGGGGGACTTGGGAATCAATTTGATTCTTTAAGACATAAAATGCCCACTAGCAAAAGCTATTTTCATTATGCCATGTAAAACATTTAGCCAGATCTTCTGGCTTTTCTACTGTTGCCATACCACTGTTGTATTTTCAAATAAGTAAGATTTTTGTCTAATGACAATAAAACTTGGATTGTGCTATACTCTTTTTTATGCATTTTAAATATAGCTGATTCAGTACTTTTGGTTTTGTTTTGGAGTCTGAAAATGGCGTAGATGATGGGTGTGATTTTTAGCCTTGAGTGTGCTGTCATTTCGGCCCTCGGACAGCTTTCTGCCACCAAAGGCTTTTCTTTAGCGTTAAAGACACGCAGGTTGGAAGCGTGCCAGCGAGATCTGTAAATTCTGTCATTTAGAGAAATACCCGCAGCGTGCCAGTACTTACATACCATATTAAATTATAGAGCATATCCTAAATACTATCATTGTACACTAAATAGCAACACAATAATTATACCTCTGTATGATCCAGCTATTCCTGGCTAGCGTGTGTTATGCTATGGAGATGCAGCGCATTGCCCTAAAAAAGAAACTGAAGACGCAGACGGCAGATTTTACAAGTTTACGGACTGTGAGAGAAGCATTGCCGATGTGCAGTTTTGCTAGGGAGAGAGAAAATGAGATGTTGTGAACGATGTGGGGTCAGTGTGCATTCAGCCTAATTGCTTCTGACTTTTTACCCGACTCAGATGTGTGTGCAAAATAAAGCACTATGTTCCCGGGAGAATTTTAACAAATCAGTCTGCATAATGTTGGAAAGGCTCTTTCGCCATAATAACGGAATAATATATTAATGGTTTGCGAGAGTCCATGTTATGCTAAGACAAAAAAAAAAAAAGCATTCAGCTTTGGTTGTTATTTATGTCCTTATAACTTTCTGGCGTAACAGGGCTTTTTTTCTTCAGCCCTGGTTTCGGCTCTGTGGCCGTAGATATTCTAGTCTAGACTAGACAAAGCCAGTCAGTCGCCAGACTGCCAGCTGACGGTGAGGTGAGGATGAGGGTGAAGCCTGGACCCTTCAAACACTCGGCACAAGCAGCAGGACAGGGGGCCTTTCTAAGGACCGTGACTCCCTGGGGGGTTGGGAAAATAATGGGCCATTTTCATTTACCCTTGGAGTCGTGAACAAACGGTTAAACCATAGTAATCCAGACGAGATGGCTTGTGTAATCCGGTGATCCTGCATCAGATGCTGCTTTTCAGTTGTTGACTATCTCGTCAGTATTGTAACAGCATTACTGCGTAATGTGACGTTTTGTTCAATCGATCTGACCCCCCCCCCACCCAGGAAAATCTGACGTGAGTTATGAGACTCTACAGTCTTAATTTAACGAGGTTTCAGGAAACACATGGTTGCACTTATCATGTAGAATTTTCCATTTATTCCACCAAAGTATGTAATAAAGACTAAAAAATGTAATTGTTTTTTGTGGCCAAGGATATTCCATAACATAATATTTTAAAAGCATCGGGATTAATTGAGGGGCAAAAACATTGCCAGTCAACATTCTGTTCTTCGCTGCTGTTTTATTTTTAGCAATGATACATTTTTGAGGAAAGAAAAATCTAATAAGCTCCAATTACGCTCCGGTTAAATATAACGCCCAGGCGTGCTTCGGATAAGACAAACATTCTTTATTTTTGAAAGCCTTCAGAAAGCGATGTCAACAAAGCCATGCATTTGGGCAGCTCGACCGCAGGGTAATCAGAGGCGTGCTTGTGGTCAGGCTCCCGCCTCACACGGGTTCCATCTTAGGTAAGACTGGAGGCGGCTGTCACAGGCTGGGCCTGGAAAGCCTGCAGCAGGAAGGTGGAGCAGTCTGCTTAAAAAGCAGCATGTCCCTCAGTGGATTTGGTGTCTGCATCTGTGATCAGAAGGTCACGGGTTTGAATCCTAGTGCTTGTAGGCTGATTGCATCCTTGGGCCCCTGAACAAGGCCCTTAACCCCCAGCTCCAACGTCGACGCTGGCTGACCCTGTGCTGTCACCCCCTAAAACTTGCTGTCACCCCTCTGTGTGTCCCATGGAGAGGTGAAGGCTCATTTTGTGTACCTTACAGGGTCATGTGGCGCCCACTACTGTTCACTCTGTGCCTCCAGCTGACAGTCAAAGTTTCATAACTAAGGGACAGGAGGCCATCAGG